TTTACAGTATCTCTAGCTCAGAATGTCTTACATACCCACAGTGGTAGCACCCAAAGCATATGTGGCAGGAACCACTACTCTCTTAGGTGGGATTTTTTACCAAACAGGACCAAATGCTGATTTGACAGGGAACGTTATTGTCTTAGAGGGGACCCAGAGCTGATATGACACTACCCCTTACTATCTCTCGTGAGGACCCAGAGCTCATATTACAGGACTTTATGCTCTCGCAGGTAATACTTTTCTCAACACTGAGCGGACCCAGAGCTGATGTGAGTGAACCGCACCCCCATTCAATACGCTGATGCACACTGCCATCTAGTGTGCATCTTCGGAATAACACCTGAGTCGAAGCCACCAGGAAATGCTCTTTTTTGGCGCCATCTGGTGTATTACTCACCCACCCCTCCCATGGGAGGCACTGCCAAGGGAGGAAAAGCTGAGCAGAAGTTTCCTGTATGTGAGGACTGCAGAGGGGTGAGGGCAGAGGTTTAGGTTCTCTAAGGCCCCAGCAAAGGATGGGCTTTTAATGAAAAATTGTTGGTTTTTCAGTTAGTTTTTAGTATCATTTTGCCTATGGTTGTCCAGTGTTCTCAACGCCATTTATACGGGTTCATTTTTGAGTTCTGCATTCTGTTCCATTGAACAAGGTTTTTAGTGGTACTGCGATGTGGGAAGTTGGAATTAAAAAACCCCGCAATGTCTACACCACCCTAGTCATCCACAAGACACCCAAGGCACAGTGGCTTCAAACACAGTCTTCCCACCCTGCCTTTCGATGACATGTGGACTGCTACGGGGGACTAGCGTCGCCACTTTTGGTGAACTGGGTCTGCATAGGGCTTCGTCTCTGTAATGATTTTGGATTTCTCTGCTTTCCAACTTTGTATCGGCATGGCTGCTTCAAACAGTGATTTACCTGACAACGTTTTCAAAACTCCAGAAAACTGCCCACGGCAGTGCAGACACTCCCTCTGCACGCAGATTCCCCTTCACCACATTTCACGTGGAGAACTACAGTGTGTTTCTCCCAAAACAGGGGCGCTGCCCCGGGGAATCGGCACGTAACACCCAAGTGTGGAAATCATGATGGTTTCCACATTAGAATCCAATCCACAGCCCCAGGTTACCTTTTACCTGTGAACTTTGGTGAACCGTAGTGACCACAACAGGCTGGTATTGCCATTAAAACAGACACGCTGATCAGTGGAGCGGAATGGAGAACCCAAAATGGACCTGCATGAATGGCGCTGAGAACGCTGGGCAGCCACAGGGAAAACGACACTGTCCGACCGTGTGAAAGTGTCTTCTTCCCTTCTGGAAGCTAGTACCCTTGCCAAGACGTTCCCTCATTTTCACAGCCTTTGTGGGTTTCAAGTGCACAGGTGACTTCATTCTGGGTGGCCTCTTTGCCTGGCTTCTTTCACTTGAAATATTTTCAGTTTATCCATGTTTATACATCAAGTAACATATATCAATACTTCATTTATTTTTTTACTGTGATTCATTATATGCAACATAACATGTGCATTTTAAACCATTTGAAGTATACAGTTCTATGGTATTAACTGTATTTACATTGTTATGTAAATACCAACACCATACAACTTCAGAACTTTATTTTCCTTACATGAAACTATTCATTAAACACTAACCCTCCATTACCCCTTTTCTCCATCACCTGGAAACCACAATTCAACTTTCTGTCTGATTTTGATTTCTGTAGATGTCTCGTAAGTGAAAGTAATAATATTTGTCTTTTGGAGACTGCCTTATTTTACTGAGCATAATGACTTCAAGGTTTATCCATCTTGTAGCCTGTCATAATTTCCTCTGTTTTTAAGACTAAATAATATCCAACTGTGTACACATTACATTTTGCATTCATTGTACATCATCCATTCATTGATGGACACTGGTGTTTCTTTGGTTATTGTGAATCATGCCATGAATGAGGGTGCACAGATACCTGTCCGGGTGCTGCTTTGACATGTTTTGGGTATGTACCCTGAAGTGGAAATGCCGGATCATACATGAAATCTCTTTTTGATTTTGAGGACTCTTTATACTTTATTCCTTTATATGGCAGTATAGAAATCCCATTTACGGATTGACCCATGTGTTGACCTCTTCATGGACATTTGAATACTTTCTACTTTCTGGTTATTGTGAACAGTGCTGCTATGAGTATCATGGATAAGTTTAGTTTAACATGAGTTTTCAGTTTTGGGGGGTGTATACATATTTTGAAGTGGAGTTGTTGAACCCTACTACAATTTTTTGAGAAAATGCCAAACTATTATACACACAGACTGCACCATTTGACATTTGCACAAACAATGCTGAAGGGGTCCAATTTCTCTGTATCATTGTCAACACTTCGTTGTTTCTCATTTTTTTATTATCATTATAGCGTATGGAGGGGTGTCGTGTCCCAGCTTTACTTTGGATTTATATCATGACTTGACATTGGACATCTTCTCTTATCCTTGTTTACCATTTGTGTCTTCTCTGGAGAGAGGATTATTCAAGTTCATTTTAAAATTTAGTTGTTCATCTTTTGTTGATGAATTGTAAGAGTTTTTTTATGTTCTGGAAATAGTTATTGGAGGTAAAATGTGCAACTGTTTTCTTCCATTCTGTGAGCTTTATTTTCCCTCTCTGTTTAGCTTCTTTTGATGCACAGAAGTTTTTAATGGTGAGGAAACCTTATTTATTTTTTTGTCATTGCTTATGCTTTGGTGCCATCAAGAAACCATTACTAGATTCTAGGTCAGGAAGATTTTTTTTAGAGTTTATGCTTTTACCTCCTATAGTTAAGCTTTTTATCTTTTCAAGTTAATTATTGAAAGCGATGTGAGGAAAACCAATTTGAACTGCAGGCTCATAGTCAGTCACTTAGCACCATTTATTGAAAAGTCGTTTCTTTGCTTCATTCATTGTTGGCAGCACTTGTCAAACATCACATGACTGATGGATTGGTTGATTTCTGTGTCCTCGATTCAGTTCCAGTGATCTATGTGTGTCGTCATAGGTCGCACCTTTACGTTTCAGTCAGTGACAGACCATATGGTACCATCCAGATCAATTTATGAGTCAGTCTGGAGTTCTCTCTGATCTCTACAATTAGTTTGAAAAATTTTGCAGATTCTAGTTTGCTGTGATGAAGATGGTTGACCCAACTAGCTCTCCTTCCTGCTGTCGATGAGTCGAAGCCCAAACCCTTTGGTGCCTGAGTAATACTGTCCTCTTTTCTGAAGATCTGACACCTGTTCTCCTTCCCAACCTTGAACTGCAAAACCAATTACTCCCATAATTCGGGTCATTGTTTTTGTTCATACTATATCACCACATTTGTTTAGTTATCCAAAACCATGATATTGCCCTGTATTCCCAATAAATGATAAAAACACAATCAAAGTCCAAATGGGGGCGCTGCTTGCTGTCCCTTTTATTGATTAGGGCACAATCAAGCTACCTTTGACCAGAATGCTGCTGGTTTGAGAAGTTCATCATAAGGACCCTTTGGCTGTACAAAGAAAAGCAAATACCCACACATCGTCACGGGGTTGAGGTGAAAAACAAAGTTCATTTTCTGGCTCTGAGATCCTAGGGTTTAAATTCTGTTTGAAGGTGAAGTTCTAGAGATTTACCAGTTACTCATTTATTTGCATCATCTATATTTTTTCAGGGAAGTTTCTAAATGGGAAGATGGACAGATTATTTCTCCTTGAAGACTAAAGTTACAAACTACTCTGGCCGGCCGGCAGGAAAGGACAACAGAAGTCCCCCAAATGATATGCAAAACAAGGAAGGGGTGAGATAACCAGACTCAGCATCAAAATCCACGTTGTTGCAAAATGTGAAGAGTGTGTGGCTGGTGCTGATACTCTGAGGCAGTCAGACTGACACCATAAAGAGACCATATAATTCAGAGCCCAAACCTAGAGCCATTTGAAGTGGCAGGGTGAGAGAAGGTGACTATTGATAATTACACCTGGAAAGAGGCATACATTGAGACTGTTTGGGAAAACTGGGGTACAAACCCCAGAAACGTGGGGCAGACTGGTGTGCCCCTGTTGGTACGGCACTCCCTGGGGGGCCCACACTTCGTACCAGTGCACGGACTTCCTGGTCTCAGAGCAATGCCCTGCGGTGGCCAAACTCCTGAGGATCAGGGCCCTTTAATTTGCTGTGGGGAATCCAAAGTGCAATGTGGACTTGAGCAAGCCCTTGAGAGAAACTGGAACTTATTCCTGAGTCCAGAGTGAAAAAGACGTGTCTGACGATGAGTAGTCAACAGACACAGGGCCGTTTTATTAGCATGAAACCTAATCTGTTACCAATATGGGTGTGTCAGTGTTGGAAGTAATGACTGACCATGGGAATAAAAGGACACACTAATGATGTAATTACATATTGTAATGCAATTAATTAATAACTCCATTACTTCCTAAGGTATGTACTGGTTTTCTGGTAGTTGAGTTGTTTCTAAAGAATCCAAAGCTTTCTCAGTTTCACGTGTGGACCTGATGGGTCGGTGTCTTGTCAAGCTTTACACTTTTCCTGACAGCCCAGAGAGATGAGAAGCTTCCAAGCTGTGTGACCATCAATTAATATTATGTAGTGGGCCTTCACAAAAATGTGGAAGGAAGGCATTTCCAAATGTGGTGTTTATTGTTTTAAGCCTTTTCGTTGACTGGATATTATTGTAGAAAATACAGGGATGTGAACATATTTTTATATTTTTTAATGTGAAATAAACAGATTGATAAATTATAAATAAAAATAAAGCCATAAACTCTAAAAGAGATATTTGAAATGATCAATCAATTAGGCTTACTTAATTAAATTTAATTGCCATTCCTTTCTTGCTCAAAGTCAGGAAGAAGAGCAACATTCTAGGAAAAGGAAGGAACTCTTTCTTTTATCAAAAGTCCTCAAACCTGGGAATTGGCAGAGGGTCAAAAGCTGCAGCCCAGCGCGGGAGGGTTGCTTACCACCCACAGCGGTGAGCAGCAGGAAGCGTCTGGGAGAGGAAGCTGGACGCTGCCTGTCCTCTGGAGCTTCCTCTGCCCGTTTCTGTGAACTGGCCCAGTAATGGGGATTCATTCTCCCAGATGGTACAAGGGTTTCCTGAAAGCTGCAAAGAAGGGTTGGGGTAGGAAGGTGATGGATCAAAGTTACGTTACATGTACAAGTAGGTATAAGACACTGAGCATTAATTGGTTATCCTTCCATTTTAAAAAAAAAGTGAAAAAATATAACATAATTAAGGTCTGATTATAATAGAATAAGACTCTACTAGATTTAATCATACACCTTGCTGTGTAGGGATTTATTTAATTGGAAATTGGTGGCCTCTGCTTCAGGATTAGCTTCTTTCTCTGTTGGTGTTTTAAATTCCGCCCTGCATTCTGTTCCTTAGAAGTAATGTGGATGCATTCCCTCAGTCACTGACTCTGTTCCTGGTGCGGGGTGAAAGCGCTTGTGTATTTTCCTCTGAGTCCCCTCCCTCCCCCTCGTTTTGTGGCTGATGTTAGATTGATGGTTGCAACAAGATAGAGGGGTTTGTTAACCGGGGATTCGAGGGTCCTACACATGAGCCTCGTCCTGCTCCAGCCCCCTGTGCACCTGCTCCACTCGCCCACCACACACCCCACTCACCTCCTGCAGGGCACAAGCAGCGATGCCCCAAGGGAAGCCGATTCACAGAAGACAATGCCAGTCCCTCAGTGAAACCCTACGCCTAGAGTTTCAGTTTGGGGTAACAAATTCAGTTTCTCTACTTGACATAAGATGATTATTCATATAATAAGGGCTTGGCAATGATGAACTCTTTGATTCTGATCTTATCTGAGAAGCGCTTGATCTGCCCTTCCATTCTAAATGAAAGCTTTGCTGGGTAGAGCAATCTTGGATGTAGGTCTTTGAATTTCATGACTTGGAATACCTCTTTCCAGCCCCTTCTTGCCTGTAAGGTCTCTTTTGAGAAATCTGCTGACAGTCTGATGGGAACTCCTTTGTAGGTGACTGTCCCCTTATATCTTGCTGCTTCTAGAATTATCTCCTTCATTTTAATCTTGGCTAATGTAATGATGATGTGCCTTGGTGTGTTCCTTCTTATTACATGAAATGTTAAAGGGACTTATCTAAGAAAAAGAAGATAAAAAATATGAACAGTAAAATGACAACAAACTCACAGCTATTAACAACCAAACCTAAAAACAAAAACAAACACAAACTAAGAAAACAACTAGAACAGAGACAGAATCACAGAAATAGAGATTACATGAATGCTTATCAGTGGGGAAATGGGAGGAAGAGAGAGGGGGAAAAGGTACAGAGAACAAGTAGTATGGATGGTAGGTAGAAAATAGACAGGGGGAAGTTAAGAATAGTATGGGAAATGTAGAAGCCAAAGAACTTATATGTATGACCCATGGACATGAACTAAGGGGGGGAATGAGGGTGGAAGAGGGTGTGTGGGGGAGAGGGGAATAAAGGGGGGAAAATGAGACAACTGTAATAGCATAATCAATAAAATATATTTTAAAAAGGAAAAAATTAAAGCTCTGATGTGTATTACTCCATACTGACATTTATTTACTTCAATACTGACTTATTACCAAAGGGTTAAAAATAACATACACATAAATATTTTTATTATACATATATTATATAAAACTACATTATAATTTGGTGTTTTTATGCATTCATGTTAGTAAACTAGTTTTTGTTAGACTACTATTGATACTTTATTTGCAACATAGGTCATTATTAACCAGACTGTCCTTATAGACAGCATACAAGAAAAATGTCCAGGCTAGAAATTCAAAGCCTTGGATTTGGGTCATAAAATTCACTAACTTATTCTCCTTGGGCAAAAATTCATCCTAATTGCCCCATATGTAAATAGAAATAAAAGGCCTTGTTTACTTATCAGAATGAAATAATGTATGTTGCAAATGTTTATAAACTGAAAAATGCTGATGCTTATTAGTAGTCTAAGATTTGTTAAGAATTTTACATTAGACTGAAAACTTTATTGATACACAACTTTCAAAGAAGTTATATTTAAAGCCAAACTACAGCACAAACTCCAGCAGATTTGAAAGAGTATATGAATGGATCGGCACAGATCCATCCTCACCGTAGCAAATATAATAATTAGTTCAGATCTAATGACTGATCAATAAACTCTTTTTAACTGAATTTGATTGGGGTGACATCAGTTCACAAAACCATGCAGGTTTCAAGTGTACAACTCAACAAACATCATCTGCACACTGCATCATGCATCTATTGCCTCAGTGAGTCTCTTTTCATCCCCACACACAGACACACACTTCACCCACCTCCACCTAGCCCCCACCCACCTCTGGCTATCACCACACTGTTGTATCTTTTTTTAAATTTAATCTTTATTGTATTTTTATGTCACCTTTCAGTCCCCCTATAACTCCCACTCCCCAGCAATCACTACAGTGTTGTCCATGTCCATGAGTCCTTTTCCCTTTTTCTCAATCCCTCCTTGAAGGATGTACCTTTGTTTGAAAAAAGTCACCTTGGTAGCTACATGTAGGGATCTGGTTTGTCTTGGTCTGGCAAATGTGACTCAGCTCTGTATGGAAAACCTACAGAAACAGGGTGGTGGGCAGGAGCCAGACCCTCAGACCAGGTTTTTCCATGGGAATCAGACCTAGAAAATGCATACAGACTGCTATGGCTTTCTCTTGCTAAAACTCCCTCACCCTGGTCTGAAACAGTAAATGTTTATTGTCTATCTTCAAGGTAATTTCCAAAGCCTGTGTGAATTTTCCCAAGGACAGAGCTAATCAGCTTGCCGCCATCCCCCTCTGCATGTTATTTTCATTCCCTTGATTGTACCTGAAATGTAGATAATAATATTCTATGTAATAGATAATAAATCCTTCTTTGATGAAAGACCTGAGGAAAAAAAAAACAATAAAAGCCTGTCCAGGCAAGGGTTGGGGTGCTCTCCTCTTGAGAGGGTGGTTGAAGCACTCAGAGGCGCTCTCCCCTTCAGAGAGTGGCCTGCCGTCCCCCTTTTCTCCACAGGATTGCTGTAGCCTATGCATTTGTTCTTGTCTTCAGTCACAACAGGTGGACTCTGCAGTCCAGAGTCTGCCACAGCTACAGAGTTTAGGCTCCTCCTAGTGGCTATCTAGCAGCAATCACATTTTTTTAATTTATTTTTTTTAATTGATTATGCTGTTACAGTTGTTCTATTCCCCCCTTCATTCCCCTCCACCCAACCCCCCATCCCCACCATTACCCCCCTTTAGTTTATGTCCATGTGTCTCAAGTCCTTTAGGTTCTATATTTCCTATGCTATTCTTGCCCCCCCATCTATTTTCTATCTACTGTCTATGCTACTTATTTTCTGTACCTTCTCCCCCCATCTCCTCCTCCCACTCCCCTGTTGCTAACCCTCCTTGAGATCTTCATTTCTATGTTTCCACTCCTGATCTAGCTGTCCTTTTAGTTTGCTTTCGTTTTAGGTGTGGTTGTTAATAACTGTGAGCTTGTTGGCCTTTCACTGTTCATGTTTTTTTAACTTCTTTTTCTTAGGTAAGTCCCTTTAACATTTCATATAATAAGGGCTTGGTGATGATGAACTCCTTGAATTTGATCTTATCTGAGAAGCACCTTATCTGTCCTTCCATTCTAAATGAAAGCTTTGCTGGATAGAGCAATCTTGGTTGTAGGTCTTTAGATTTCATGACTTAGAATATTTCTTTCCAGCCCCTTCTTGCCTGTAAGGTCTCTTTTGAGAAATCTGCTGACAGTCTGATGGGGACTTCTTTGTAGGTGGTTGTCCCCTTAGCTCTTGCTGCTTCTAGGATTTTTCTCCTTCATTTTAATTTTGGCTAATGTAATTATGACATGCCTTGGTGTGTTTCTTCTTGAGTCCAACTTTTTTGGTACTCTCTGAGCTTCTTGGATTTCTTGGAAGTCTATTTCCTTTGCCAGATTGGGGAAATTTTCTTTTATTATTTGTTCAAATAAGTTTTCCACTGGTGGCTGTGCCTTTCCCCCTTCTGGTACCCCTATAATTCGGATATTGGAGCGTTTAAAGATGTCCTGGAGGTTCCTAAGACTCTCCTCATTTCTTTGAATTCTTGCTCCTTGACTCTTTTCTGTTTGGCCATTATTTGCTTTCTTCTGGTCCACTCCATTGATTTGAGTCCCAGTTTCCTTTTCATCGCTATTGGTTTCCTGTGGAATTCCATTCATTTCCATTAGTTTAGCCTTCATATGTTTCTCTAATTTGTGGCTATACTCAACCAGATCTGTGAGGATCCTGATGACCAGTATTTTAAACTGTGCGTCTGAGAGTTTTGCTATTTCTTCGTCGCTTAGATTTATCTCTGGGGCTTTGAGGTCTTCTTGCGACATTTTTGGTCTGTTCTGGCCCTTTAAGTATGAGAAGCGGCGCCTTGGACTCCCAGGTCGCTGGGTTGTGACGCTGTATGTGGAGGCGTGGTCAGAGCGGGGATATGGCGGCGCCCTCTACCGCCGCGGCCATTCCAACCACCCACTCCCTCACCTGTCCGCTCGCGCGCAAGTAGGCGACTGCAGTCAACACGCAGCACCGCCTCCCCACTGTCTCCTCGGCAGTCGCTCACCTGGTGGGTTGCTCAGTCGCTCACTAGGTCCAATCCTGCGTTTGGAACCCGTGCGTCTGGATTCGCGCGTCTGGATTCCGCGCCTGGGTCTGCCCGACCGAGTCCTCCTGTGCAACCCCTCACCAGACGCCGGTTTCGCCCCTTACCGGTCGGGCTGAAGAATTTGTTGTTAACGGACTTCCGAAAAGTTCAATTTTCCGTGTTCTGGTTGTGTTTTCTGATGCTAATATTTAGTTGTCCCTAAACTTGGTTGTGTGAGAAGGCACGGCACATCCACCTATACCTCCATCTTGGCGGAAGTCCCCTCACATTTTTTACAAGTACATTTATTTTCTGTTTGCATTTTGCCACTCTTTTTTAACTTAGATCAGCAATTTGCTACTGGTTTACTGCAAGAATTTTTAAAACATGCAATTTCTGACTATTTAGTCAGTAGTACTAACCTCTTTTCTTCTAGGG